TCACCCTACCTCTAAGGCTGAGCTAAGCCATTCTATAGAGAAAACTCATTTTGGCCACTTGTATTCACAATGTCATTCTTTTGGTCACTACCCAATGCTCATGATCATAAGTAAGAGTGAGACGTAGATGGACCGGTAAATCAAAAGCTTTGCCTTCCAGCTGAGCTCCCTCTTCACTGCCATAGTCTAGCGCAAACTGCCTATCCATTCCATGCTCCATTTTACCCTCACTGGTAAACAAGACCCTGAGATACTTCACTTGGGGCAGTAACTCTCTCCCGGCAGAGAACCATGGCCTTAGACTTGGAGGTACTGACTCTTCACAAAGCTGCAAACCACCCCAGTTCATGCCAGAGGTCACGGTGTGATGAAGCCAACAGAACCACATCATCTGCAAAGAGCAAGAATGTAATTCTGAGGTCCCCAAACTGAACACTTTCCTCCCCCTGCCTTGGCCTTAACATCCTGTCCTGTATCCCGTTCTCACCTTAAACATCCATGGTTTCAAGCCCGACCAAAATAACCCTGATTACATTGCTATGACATCATCGGAGTTACTTTTTCAAACTCTGAAAAGCTTGCTCCAGAGCCACAGAGGACATTATACAACTGTTTCCTCAAGTAAAGTGAACTTCATATGTAAAGTCAGTGCAGTGCCCCTTTAACATTAAATTGAACTGTTAACAGTTTTAAAAAGTATACACGTTTCAAAACAAACTGAACACATGAGATGCATTTTAATGCATGGGAAAGGCATATTATTAAACCTGAATAGACATTTTTGGGTGTAGAGAATGTATATATTTATATGGATAGAAAGATAAATAAATGTATGTTTGGACTTTTATAAGGCATATATATATTGACTGCTGTGGGAACTGAACTTGCCATTTTAAATGTGACCCATTAATTACCCATCGTAAAGCAGTAAACAACTCCTCTCTACTCCTGACAGCATAATAAATGACTGGATTTGGTCCAGATGGCACACCTGAGTTCATTCCAGAGACTGCTGTTTTTGAGGGTGACTCAGGGCCACTGTGGGTTTTGACTGTCGAGTATTTGAACAAATACCAGTCCATAATCCTTTTACATTAGAGCACTTTGAAGCTTTGTTTAAGCATGACATTCTTCTTACCAATGTTTGCTTTAGGACAATCAATCAATAAATTAGATTACACTCTACACTGGGCTGAGGGGACTTGTGTACATGATTGAAGTTACATGGCTTAAAGATTAAACTGACTTTTTGTCTGTGAAGTCAAAATAATCCTGTTTGTTTCACCATTAGTTTCACATGACAAATAGCACAGGTGTTTTGTCTTAGCTGACAGATAGGTGGTTGTTGGGACTTTTCCAGTCTATATTCATACATCATAAGTTAATTCTGACAAGTACTTTATTACAGTAGCTTAAAGCACTGAAACTGTAGGTGGTCTGATATCAGATTAAAAATGTACAAACATGCTTTTCAGAATGACTTGTAGTAAAAATGCCCATGTTTTGGTAGAGAAAATGATGAGTACCCCATTATTCAACAACTCATGAATCTGATGATATGATATGTTTGCCATATGTGTCTGTTTCTTGTTGACCTTAGGAAATATTAAAAAAACAAATAGACATATATCTCAAAGATGTGCAAAGTAGTAATACAAGACAAGGAAGCAACAGCCCTATGACGTTCTCATCCAGTAATTTCCACCCGCATGCTAGATCTCAGCCACAGTAGTGCGTAAATCGCTCTGGCTTGTTGTCTTTAAAATGACCTACTCAGCAACTCTGAACCTGAAATGCACCAACAACCGCAGGCTAATTGGACAGCAACCTTTTTGGCTTAAACAGTCAAATCAGCAAACAGAAACCAAAGTGTATCAGCAAGTCACTACCTGTGAGCTGAAGTTTTGGACTGACAATTTAAATGTGTCACTGTTGGCAGATTCCTGATTAGATACCAGAGCTCTGTCTCTTTTTTTTTTTTTTTTTTCAAAATTTAATTTAATATCTGTATATTAGGGTTGCAACGGTATGAGATTTCCATGGTACGATAACTGTCTTAGAAAATATCGTAGTTTCATGGTATCAAGATGTCACAGAATTTATAGTATTATCAGTCAGAATAACCCTTAAAGGAATGAAAATGGAGGAGTCATTTTTGGTTGAACAAACATTTTATCACTATAATTGAAACTTGAAACCATTTTGTTAATGGAAGTAAGTGTAAACAGTATCCCCTTTGAAAAGAACTAAAATAAAGGGGAGGTTATCCATCCAGTTGCATTTTTTTCTAATATTGTAGATAAGCAAAATGTACACGGTATGATAACCGTCATGTTATACCTTAAAACTGGTATATTGCTGCAACCCTACTGTACACCTCACTTCATGGAACTAACTGGGATCATTTTTAATGTAAAGTAACCTGAGTCCAGGGACTCACCACTCCTTTTAAAGGAATGAAATGTTAAATTGTTACTTAGTAGAACATGACACAACTAGCTATCCCTAAAGTTGAGTTAACTCTAAAAGACTTTTCAACTTGTTTCTTGCCTCATTTCTTTTTACATTTTTATAGTAGTAAGATTTATTTATTAAAGGTCCAGTGTGTAGGATTTAAGGCAGTATGTTGACAGAAATGGAATATAATATAATAAGTAGGTTTTCATTAGTGTATAATCACCTGAAAATTAGAACCGTTGTGTTTTCGTTACCTTAGAATGAGACGTTTATATCTACTTAGGGAACAGGTCATAGTCCATGGAGATCGCCATGTTGCACTACCATGTTTCTACAGTAGCCCAGAATGGACAAACCCAACACTGGCTCTAGATAGGGCATATTTTGTGTTTTCATGTTAGAAGTCACACCACGATGAACAGTGTCAGAAAAACACTTTTTTTTAAAAAAAAAAATTAATAAAAAATTTTTTTACCAGTTTAAATCATCTGGTCCGTTTGTCTTAAAGAGGAGGAGACCTCTACGAACAATTTGGCTCCGTGTATAAACCTCCACAATATCTGGATCTTAAGTTATCAGAGAAGAAAGGTGAGCACACAATAGCAGGTGTTAGGCAAATACGTCGTCTCTGACAAGCCAAGCGATGTAGGAGAATCACTGAGTTGTAACACAAAACTGCTTTATTCATTTTATTTAATTTATTTTTTTTTACCAGTTTTTATTCACCTGGTCTGTTTGTTCTGTAGAGGAAGAGACCTCTGTGGATAATTTGGCTCATGGGAAAAACCTCCTGAGCAATGAACAATGAAGGAATTCTAACCAGAGGAAGTTTCAACTGGTTGCAGGTTGCAATCCTCACCACTAGATGCCACGAAATCCCCCTAAATCTTACACACTGGACCTTTAAATCTCATTAATATCAACACGTAACTTTTAAAACTAATCTATCTTGTTATCTGAGGGTTGCACCATGAAGCCAGATTAGTGGTTAGTGATGTATGTAAAGCTCAAGGCATTTTCAGTGTCACAAAGGTAGACCTCTTTTAAAATGTCTCAAACTCAATGGTTGATATACTGTGGGCTGATAAGCTAATTGTAGCTGTGTGGTGAGCCGGGGAGGAAATGCGCTCTTGGAAGCAGGTGTGTTGGTAGACTGGATTCAGGGTTGCAGCAGGACAGTAACAAGACTCGAACACACATACATACACAAAGACAAACTGGGGACATGGAGAACACAAGACAAGTAGGGGACACAGGGAAATCCAAGGGAGAAATGGGAGCACTGCTGTGGCAAGACAAATTAAGGCCGTTAAGTATCTAAACTTCGATAGCAAGGATAATTAATAAATCATAAGAAATAGATAAATGTAACAAACTTCTATTATATAATTCTAATATTATATCATAATTAATAGGACTGTCCCTGACTAAGAATTTTCCTAGTCCCAGTCAGCATTTAGGGCCATTAGTCAACTAGTCGCCTGCATGTTTACAATAATATTTGATTATTAAATGATATCCTTTGGGTGGGGCAACACAATGGTTTGAGTTCAAGGTCCAAGAAAAAATAGTGCAAGCAACATTGTTAGCACTGTGCTACATTACAGAGAAATACAACACCATACCAATGAACCTTAATTAATACAGGCCTAGATTTTATCTACAAATGCACGCCACACACTGAGAAAACTGCCTGTTAATGACGATGTCAGCAAAGCAGTAATGCACCCCCTGTATGTCTACTTCTGTGTACTGTAAAACTTCAATTAAAAGTTTAATTAAATTAAATGTCCAGTCCTATTTACTAGCCCGGTGTGGCTAATCATTTTGTTGAAAAAAATACCTGTCTCATTTGGACACCTGGTCTGATTCCCAAGCAGTTAATTTTTTTAAGTTCTTTGTATGTATAATGGCAGGTTGTTGGTTACCTCAAATTATGGATCAATTCCTTGATCACCCTGTAAGTTATACATATTCCTCAAGTCTGTAAGGGTCCTTAGTTCAAACAAATCAAAAGGGTATTTCATAAAAATGAATCCAAATTGTGAATATTGTTCTAACAGTATAAAGTGGTGTTGTGTCGGTGTGCCAGGTGCTGTAATCCTCATGTGCCGTAAGTCTCTCTCTCTGGTGTGCTCTCTCTCTCTCTGAAGCCTAATTTTTACACGAGTAATATTCATATTAGTGTAAATAATTAATTTTATTGTATTTCTCATCTTTGCTGAGCAACAGTTTTGTGTGAAAGAAATTTATAGCCTGTCCCTTATACATGCCTTCCCCAAATATAAGCCTGTTGATTTCAGTGTTTTAAGCAAATAATAGCCTGGGCTATTAATTGAAGTTTAATAAATAAATAAATAATAAAGCTGATTCTGAATCTAAATACACAAGAGAGGTCACAATGTCATCAAAAGCAGAGAGGAATCTGGTCTTCAGTAGAGCTGATGACATACAAAATGGTATCATCAGCATAAAAAATTGTAAAATGGACATTGTAATGCTCAGTTGGAACATAACTACTGTGACTGTGCCTTTGTTTGCAGGGATGGCCTCACAGCAGCGGTCATGTTGGTCTGAAGAAGAGGGGAAGACATGAACAGGACACACTCAACAAACAGTACCATTTCAAGCCTGTACTAGCATCAAAAAATGACACAGAGTTCTGGAAGCGTCCTCGCTGTGGAGTCCCAGACTATCCCACCTTAACGCATGTTGGCCTGTCGTACTATAACCTGAAGAAGAAGAAGGGAGGCCTGAGTGGACAGCAGCGCAGGAAGCGATTTGCACTGTTTGGAGGGCGCTGGGAGAAGACTGACCTCACTTACAAGTAAGAAACACAAGTATTATGTCGTGTACATTGGTTTGTTCAGTTGTTTACCGCTGCTTTTGTCTTTTAATCATGAATTAATTGCTAGATGTTTTGATGGATATAAAATCAATAAAGATTATGTATTAGAAAAAAAGTCTCTCTGCTGGAGCTAGCAATAAATCAGCTTGATATATCAACTGCTATTAGCTTATTGTAGATATATCTTATATGGTGCCATATTGACACCAGAGTTTAGTACCCAACCCTAACCACACAGATGTTGGCAGATAATAAAGATAAACAACTGCACTACAGAAATGCCAAACTAGGTTTTAGGTCAGTTTGTCAGTGTTATCATTACACAGTTTGTTGATCAGAGAACACTGACAAGTTGATTTTTACACTGTAAAATCAGCTCAGTATGTATTTTGGTTGCAATTAAAAAAAAAAAGAGCAGGAGTTCAGTATCAGCATTAGGCTTGGGTAGTTTTCATACCTTCATGCCTTTCAGTAATTTCACAAGGGTATATTGTATATGGCAAAATAAGTGTGTGGCACTACAACCAACCCTTCCCCAACCGCCAAGCACTCTCAGGTTTTTAAACTAAAAGTACACAGCACAAACTCACAATGTTAAGAAAAGTAATATTCTTACAGCTATTTTTCCTTATTAAACAGAGAAATACAACTGTACACCTTTTGAATTCTCATTTCTCTTTGTCACGGACCTGAGACTGCCTTAATTGTTTCATTAACTCACACTTCATTCATACTCAAAATCAATGAAATAAAACTCACCCAAACCGTCTTGGTTATTCCTCTTACTCATTCAGTTAGTTAGTCCACTATTCCAACAATCACTGACTCTGGTTTGGTCCAAATAAAACCTTGATTCACTGAGTCAGATGTAGAAGACATGATTTTCTCCCCAAAGTCTCTCTTGGTTATTGCTGGCTGGCTGTTTACGGTCCTGTGCGCCGACAATACAACATACAAACAAACAAGAGGTTCTACGACACACATGTGCTGCTCACACAGCCTGTGTGGCCCGGGCATTATTCCTCCATTACTCGCGGGTTTCTTTTAGCTCAGCGGCCTGCTCCCCTAGTAGAGAGAGGAGACTGACCTCAGGTGGCGCGTGCTGTGCATTACATACAGTGACTTAAACAGAAAGAGGAGCACCTGTGTTTTTGACAGTATAGAAAATTATACCGTCGGGATTACTTAATATCCTGGTAGACTGTAAAACCGTGATACCGTCTAAGCCTGATGACATCGTTATGTGTTTGTGTAAAAAACGATATATCAGGTTTTTCAAAGTCAGCAATATCAATATAGGTATCTTTTAATTAAGATTTAAAATTAGGTTTATGTAATCATTGGAACTGTTTGTATTACCAGTTTCCAATATAAATTGTAAATTTAAATTAAGTTTATTTTAAATAACAAGACAAACAGCTCTGTTCACCTCAGCCTCTAAAGGTCTGACTCATCACCTCCAGAAAAACAAATACATTATATCTGAGAACACTTGATGAACAAAACAAAGCTCATGTCTTTAGTTTGCTGTGAACCTTATGTCTGAAACTAGGATGAGAGGGAGAAGGGGATAGCTAATGATTATTTACAGGAAGATGTGTTTACGTTGTAGCTTCACACGAAGGCTTGTGGTTCACATTGTTTGTAGATTCAATTTGTCAAATCAAAAAAATAGGGAGAGTTACCATCAACCTCATAAATTGTGGCATCATCCTGCAATTAAAATGAATGAATAAATAAGCATTATTGTAGAGACCCTGTTATTGATGGGTTTACTAGTGTGGTCAGTGTGACAGCACTGCGTCATCCCGCAATGCTCTGTTTGTGTGGGTGTATATGTTCTTGTGTTAACAGACTGTGGCTACATTCGAGAGACCCTTGTGCTGTTTGTGAAAACACTCTGACAGGATGACAAACAGATTGTGCTCTGTAGGTTTCACTAGTGTAACCCAGCATGTAGAGTATCTGTTTGAGAGAGCATTCCAAAATAGGCAGTAAAGATTCAAGAATAACAGGAAACTCCTGTGTTTTTCTTCGCCAGTACCAGGAAAAGAAGTACCTACTTGAGGATAAACTTTGTGAAGTGCAACTAGCAAGCTAGAATAAACTAAGACACAACCACTCACAGTGACTCCTTTTGAAAGAATGACTCAGGTGTTTTCTGATTTTAAAATAAGAAATCCAATCTAAACCACTAAAAGCTGCTTTAATCTGTATTCTTATATTAACAATAAATCAAATGACTAGGTGTTATTTGAAAGGGGTTGCTGGTAGTCACTGGACATCCTCTTCCCTCATCAACTCTATGGAGCATTTAGCGTCTTTCAGCTCATGGTTTTAGTTTTACATCCCATCGGTAATGTTTTGGGTCAGTCTGTCTCAGCATTCTCATCATGTTGTTCCAGCAACAGCATTCAGCTGTTTCCAATGAAAAAGTTCCGATAAACAGTCCAGCAGCAAACAGCACACAGACACAGTTAGACTAGCTGGTGAATACAGCAGAGTATTTAGCAGAGTAAGAGACATATTTTTTCAGGAGTTGGTTTAGAGTAAAACAGAGCAAATAGAAGAGTGAGTATTGGTCTTAAAATTTAACCAGAAGCCCAACTCCAAATGAATGCTCCATGTCTACTGGATGTGTAAATAGATAACTGTTTGCTAACGTGTTTGGCACATAGATTGTACATAAAGACGGACAACTTAGCTCTACTTCCTGCCAATGTACTAAGATGAAGCAAAAATATCCCAGAGGTGGCTGCCGCCATCTTGTGCTGGTGACGTCATTTAGAGCCAGAGTCTGCGCCATACCGATCTCTGCGATGTGGAATTCCTGCTGTAGTGCAATATCATTTTCTCAAAACAATGTGCATGATTTTTTTCTCATTTTTATATCATATACAATATTACATTGATTATCAGGTGCAGTCTGCTTTTTCCAACCATTTTAGTTCATTTTTAGTAACTCTTGTACTTATCTTACTCCTAGCTGTTACTCTATTAGGCGCTGTTTTTGCTTTGCTCCTTGAAAACACTTCTTTTCTTGTATATTTGAATATTTTGCCAAATATTTAATACTCTATTGTTTTTAAAACTGGGCCCAGCGAGTGACCTTGACCCGGGGAACCCACTGGTTGTTCTGGTTGTGAATGTTAATTGTTGTTACTGTATTTAGTGTTACTGTAATTTGAAGCATTATCTGGCACAAGAATGTCCCTTGGGATCAGTAAAGTTCTATTGAATTGAATTGAATTGAACTGAACTGAACTGAACTGAATTTGATTTAATTGAAACACCCGTCAGACCAATTGTGAGTAGCACCATTGATAAGAGCACACCAATTGGCACAAAAAGCTGTCAGTAATAAAGTCAAACCTCCTTTTTTATAGCATCAAATATCTAACCAAGCCAAACTTACCAGAACATACATCAGCATGATTATTATTTATTTGATGTGTTCTTTGGTCTTTTAGTTTGGCCCAGGTCCCATCTGTTAACATGGAGGGGTAGGGCTTTATGACATCCCCAAGGGGTGACTGAAATGTTTTGGCTTCATTTTTTGGAGCTGTCATGTCGCCCATCTTTATTATACAGCCTATGGTTTGGGCACAAGGTGATAGTATTTTAGTGTTATGTTTACAGCTCATTCCACTGCCCCTAAGTGGCCGAAGAGTGCAAGTTTAAATATTTTTTTCATTAAATAAGTCACGAAAAACAAACAATGTCATGTTGAGATATTATAAATAAAACTTCTGATACCAAATAAATCTACAGTTACCTAAAAAGAAGAATCACATGAGAAGAATCATGCCAATAAGGCTGTGGTTGGGTGCAGCAGTGCCTCTAGCAATGACACTGACAATGATAACATTGTATTTACGATGTTCAAGGTATTAGTTTAGGGTGTAAATGCGTGACCATGTATTAATAAGCAATAAACACAAAGTACAGTTGAGGCTGATGGTAGTGGTTTTGCAGGTATTTCTTGATTAAGTATTGGAGAAAGTGAAATTTTGATATTGTGATGTACGACACCTATTGCTCGTCTGTCCGTTCTGGAAGAGTGATTCCTCCTCAGTTGCTCTTCCTGAGGTTTCTACCATTTTTTTTTTTTTTTTTTTTTGGGAGTTTTTCCTGATCCACTGCAAGGGTCCAAAGGACAGAGGAATGTCATATACTGTAAAGCCCTGTGAGGCAAATTGTGATTTGTGATATTGGGCTAATAAATAAAATTGATTGATTGAATAAACAACCAGAGAGAATGGGCCACGGGTGTAAAGTAGGAGAGGCAAGACATACTCCCTACTTCTGCCCCCACACCCATCTTTGAAATCAATTTTGATCTGTAAATTTCATGACTTGATATTGCATGGTTGTGATGCTATTGTGGTTACAAAACCTTTCCACAGACAGACAGACAGACAGACAGACAGATAAACACCTGGTGAAGTACTCATAACCATTCTGTGGTAGTTCCTGCTACAAAAGGTGTCTCCAGGACCACATTTTGCCATGATGACACGCACACACGCACACACACACACACACACACACACACACAGAGTGAAAACAATACCCTGTTGTCATGGCTAGTGATAAATGAAACTATGGGATTTCAAAGTGTCATGCTGTTACACTAGCATAGCTACAGAGCATCTCTGTAGAGAACTCATTTCCATTCCAGTTTTCAGTGCCTCTGACTGATTACTACTAGTAATTTTGTTATGTATTGTGTGGGTAGAGCTTAACACGACATCACCTGCACCAGTTTTGTATCCATGTATCCACGAGCATCTACTGAAACAACCCAGGGATCTTTTGGAATGTATGCACCATATCAGGGCAGTGCGGGTAAACTGTACTGTCTTTTCATTTTCATTTTTGACACAAGCATATTCCTTACACAGCAGCACACACAGTTTACCATCTGTTTGGTATAAGGGGAGTCCCTAACATTGTTGGTGGTACTTGCCAGAGGTAAAGCAGTTCATATTACATCCTGTTAGTCATGTCTGAGCTCGTCCGCCCAGCTGAACAATAAGAAAGAGCCAATTCTCGAACCATATCACAGGATCAACACTGAATGACTGCTGTGTATGCATATTCTCACTTTGTTGATTTTTCCACATCCTGAAAATGTGAAGTACTTGCCTGCAAATATTTGGCATCTAAACTATTAATGCCAGTGTTTTGGTTTAATGAGTGACTCTGTTAACTGGTGACTTAGCTGAATATGTTGATGTATTGGTTAAATGAGTGACCCTGTTAATTGGTGACTATTAGCCAAATGCATTGATAATTTGGTTTAACAAGTGACCCTATTAATTGGTTACTTTTAGCCGAATGCATTGATGTTTTATTTTAACAAGTGACCCAGTTTACTGGTGAATTTTAGCTGAATGAATTGATGTATTGGTTTATTGAGTGACCCTGTTAGCTGGTGACTAAAAGCCGAAGGCGTAGATGTTTCAGATTATTGAGTGACCCTGTTAGCTGGCGACTTAAAGCCGAAGGCGTTGATGTTTCAGATTATTGAGTGACCCTGTTAGCTGGTGACTTAAAGCCGAAGGCGTTGATGTTTCAGTTTAATGAGTGACCCTGTTAACGGCTGACTTTTAGTGTGTGGTTGTCATAGTTATAAGAGCTGTTGAAAAGAGGAAGAGAATACGTAGACACCTTGTCAGTCTTTGTTTTTTCATTACAATGGCAAAACTGCGAGAGTTGCAAGACTTGTTCAGCAAAATATTCAAATAGATTGATGCCCGCTGATTCTTCAGAATGACCCAGGGCAGCGTCTGGCAGTATATTTGAACTAAAATTTTGTGTAGCCCAAGCTACTGTAAGCTATTTTACTGAGTTTCCCCCGAGCTATATGCACTGAGTGAATTAGTGTTACCTCTGGTAAACAGTTATGCAATGTATATGTTTAGGGCTTTTGTTGTGAAAGGTAAGAACAGAGGGAATGGATCTGATAAGCACTCCATTTGTCAGTGTTGAAAGGAGAAATAAAATTTGCAGTTTAAGAAGATAAACCATCAACAGGTCTGCCATTGTCGAGATGTTGTGAGGTGATGTCTGCTCTGCACAGCGTGATTTTGGTTGATGCCTTTATTTGCGGTGCGAAAGCTCAGAAAAATTGACCTAATTTGGTGAAAACAGGTATTTTGTCGTGTAATATTCACGATTTGTGTGAAAATACTCATGACAAAGAACAGGTCAAAGCTTTAACGCGTCGCCGAAACCCGTTGGTCTTGCAATAAAGATGTTCTAGATACTACAACAGATGTTCTGGCCTTTTAAGATGTTTTTTTATACATCTGCTGTTTAAGGTCTTAAGATACAATATGTATATTTATGAGTGCTCCTAATACAGCACATTGGTGTGTGTGTGTGTGTCTTTGTATGTGTATGTGTGTCCAAGGATTGTGCGTTTCCCCTGGCAGATGAGTGAGGGCAAAGTGAGGCGTGTCTTCCTGGAGGCATTCGGTGTATGGAGTGCAGTGACTCCTCTGACGTTCAGAGAGGTCACCACTGAGAAAGCTGACATCATTATTGACTTCAGCAGGTAAGAGAGGTCCACCAGCAAGAAACACAACACACAGGTTATAAATGGGGACCACCTGACATTACCTTAAATTAAAAAATAATATATTTTATATCACCAGTAGCAATTAACACGTAAAATCCGCAACAGTCTCTTTATTTATGATATGTACAGAAAAAGACTGGTGTTGCAAGACAAGTTACATCAGAGAAAATGTAGAATAAAGGGAATTTAGTATTAGAATTTTAAAAAGGGTCATATTTCTAATATGTATTTGTTTCAGCAGGGACAATGCCTATAATTAACATCACTGTAAGAGAAAGGTTGCGTTTTCAACGTTTTGTTTTAAAATTAAAACAGAAGAACGTGAAAATGAAGTTTTTAATTTCTCGGTTTTGTTATTGTGATATTTGGATAAATTCAAGGAATGCTGGGAGATCTGGGGAGGAACTTTTGAACTCCGCAGAGGAGCGCTCCATTATCAACTACTTGTAGCCTATGGCCGCACTCCAGCCTCATGTGGACCTCATCTGTGAACTGTTTGAGAGTGGCAAGACAGGCAGAAATCAGTGACATTTTGCAGCGTGTAGGGGCCACACAGTGTTCCATAATGAGCGTCAGGAGATTCTGCATGGAGCACAACCTTTGGAGGAGAAGTGTTGTTTCAGACGCCCAATTAGAAACGGCTGTGGTTTCTGCAATAAACAAGGTCTGTATGTATGTACAGATGCAGCCACTTCAGATTTCTGTTTGGCCCGTGGTAGAGCCCTGACCGACCTGTGACAGGTCCTGTCATCACCTTGCCGGGCTTGTAGCTCTAATGAGATCCCCACGACGACATTGAGTATATGGGGCCGGCTGGTAACGCCCCTAAGTTTTATTTGTAGAAACCAGTTGCAATGGTCTGTCTATCCACCAGGAGGAGTAGTGAGTGTGGAAGCTGAAGCGGTTTACTGTGCCTCTTATTACTGAGAGAGCTTCCCACACAGAGCATATTTAATGATTATCAGGCTACCATATCATAGGTCATAAATATAATGCGTCAGCGTTTTGTTATTCAAAAGAACTGCATGAAAATTAAAGTGATATGGCTGGGAACTGAACGAACTGAACGTTATCTGCAGTGGTAATGATAATAATGTCATACAGTAATAAATATAGTAATATAGTGTATGCATATATATACAGTACAGGCCAAAAGTTTGGACACACCTTCTCATTCAATGCGTTTTCTTTATTTTCATGACTATTTACATTGTAGATTCTCACTGAAGGCATCAAAACTATGAATGAACACATGTGGAGTTATGTACTTAACAAAAAAAGGTGAAATAACTGAAAACATGTTTTATATTCTAGTTTCTTCAAAATAGCCACCCTTTGCTCTGATTACTGCTTTGCACACTCTTGGCATTCTCTCCATGAGCTTCAAGAGGTAGTCACCTGAAATGGTTTCCACTTCACAGGTGTGCCTTATCAGGGTTAATTAGTGGAATTTCTTGCTTTATCAATGGGGTTGGGACCATCAGTTGTGTTGTGCAGAAGTCAGGTTAATACACAGCCGACAGCCCTATTGGACAACTGTTAAAATTCATATTATGGCAAGAACCAATCAGCTAACTAAAGAAAAACGAGTGGCCATCATTACTTTAAGAAATGAAGGTCAGTCAGTCCGGAAAATTGCAAAAACTTTAAATGTGTCCCCAAGTGGAGTCGCAAAAACCATCAAGCGCTACAACGAAACTGGCACACATGAGGACCGACCCAGGAAAGGAAGACCAAGAGTCACCTCTGCTTCTGAGGATAAGTTCATCCGAGTCACCAGCCTCAGAAATCGCAAGTTAACAGCAGCTCAGATCAGAGACCAGATGAATGCCACACAGAGTTCTAGCAGCAGACCCATCTCTAGAACAACTGTTAAGAGGAGACTGCGCCAATCAGGCCTTCATGGTCAAATAGCTGCTAGGAAACCACTGCTAAGGAGAGGCAACAAGCAGAAGAGATTTGTTTGGGCCAAGAAACACAAGGAATGGACATTAGACCAGTGGAAATCTGTGCTTTGGTCTGATGAGTCCAAATTTGAGATCTTTGGTTCCAACCGCCGTGTCTTTGTGAGACGCAGAAAAGGTGAACGGATGGATTCCACATGCCTGGTTCCCACTGTGAAGCATGGAGGAGGAGGTGTGATGGTGTGGGGGTGTTTTGCTGGTGACACTGTTGGGGATTTATTCAAAATTGAAGGCACACTGAACCAGCATGGCTACCACAGCATCCTGCAGCGACATGCCATCCCATCCGGTTTGCGTTTAGTTGGACGATCATTTATTTTTCAACAGGACAATGACCCCAAACACACCTCCAGGCTGTGTAAGGGCTATTTGACCAAGAAGGAGAGTGATGGAGTGCTGCGGCAGATGACCTGGCCTCCACAGTCACCGGACCTGAACCCAATCGAGATGGTTTGGGGTGAGCTGGACCGCAGAGTGAAGGCAAAGGGGCCAACAAGTGCTAAACACCTCTGGGAACTCCTTCAAGACTGTTGGAAAACCATTTCAGGTGACTACCTCTTGAAGCTCATGGAGAGAATGCCAAGAGTGTGCAAAGCAGTAATCAGAGCAAAGGGTGGCTATTTTGAAGAAACTAGAATATAAAACATGTTTTCAGTTATTTCACCTTTTTTTGTTAAGTACATAACTCCACATGTGTTCATTCATAGTTTTGATGCCTTCAGTGAGAATCTACAATGTAAATAGTCATGAAAATAAAGAAAACGCATTGAATGAGAAGGTGTGTCCAAACTTTTGGCCTGTACTGTATATATATATATGTATATATATATATATATAATACCATTATTATGACTATATAAATGTAGGCTAATTTATGATGCTTTTACATTGCTGTTAGACCACCCCACTCCTTTTACGGAATGTGCGAAAGACGAAGATTTTTTTTAACCCCAGCAAAAATGTTGATTTTCAAAGACTACACGCCAACAAATATGGACTGAAGCAGAATCTTTCGTTAGATAAAAACTGCTTTTGAATATTGGACATAATTACGTAGATATTTTCTTTTTTAATTATGTAGGAGAAATACCTTTTTGAAAATGTTTGCACTCGTAATAAAGTTTGGGGCACCACCCTCCTAATGAGGGAAGTGACTAATCAAATTAATAACTCCGTAAACCAATTATTAATTCGTCAGCACGCTTATCATTAATGAATCAATCTCAATATCTGGGTTATGAATTCTCCATACAGTGATCTTAATTCCTGCTCAAAAGAAATATCCACAGACAACAACTTGGCGATAGATGAAAATTTATTTAAGCTAAATGGGTAACAACTGAATAAATGAATGAGGATAATATGAAATAACACAAAATCAACACTATGTACAATGGATTAAACAAGAAGTAACATTCGTGTGAGTTATTTAATTTGGCGATAGTGAGAGAGCATGTTAAGATAAATTGGGATCGCAGGGATGTGCAAAATATTTATCTAAGGAATCCTAAATTAAGATTAAGATAATTAAATCTCCTATTTGACATCAGCTCTTACCACTGCCCAGCAGGTCACCTGTGAGGGGAGTTCGTTGCCTCCATACTTAGCAGGGAATCATGCAGATGTTTCTCCTGGGGTCCCCGAGCATTCACTTTGCAACTCCCAGACTTTTCAGCAGAATGAAACCGGCTGGCTCACTGTGGTAGGGGGAGCGGTTGAGCCTGTGAAGTCCTGTGGGTACCCCAACGTTGGTTGCCTTACGCTGCAGAAAGCCTTTGGGTTTGGCACAAGAACCACTGTGGCAAGTGGCTGGCAGCCGCTGGGTCTGATGAATCTTTGGGTGAAGAGTCAGGTCGAAAAGGGCACTTGTCTACTTTGTTATAATTACTCGCTTATAATATTGGTGAAAACAATATCATTGGTCGTTCAGTATTGTTATCAAAGTTATTATTAACACGCATAAAAATGCTGAGAACACTGGAGATAAAAGAAAACTGGACAAGCAAAACTTAAAAGTTTAAAATAACTCTGATGGTGAGAATATAAAAGCGTACCTAAAACATAAATACAAGAGAGGCTTAGATACGAAAAAGAAGAAATAAGAAGAGAGAATAGTCAAAAAGAAAAAAAAGAACAAAGAGTACAAGAGTACAAAAGAACAAGAGAGCGGAAATAGAAGAGAGAGAACGCACCAGAGCGCACATGTTTTTCTTCTTAGTTGTAAAACAGACCCACTACTTTATTTCAAACGAAACTTAATGCTTTTTATTATACGAGATCGTATACTTTGACATGTTACGCGCGATAGGCACATACTCTTCTCATTATGGTCAAAATCAGTTCTTAACATCCAATTAAAATGAATACAATTATTATACCACGTGTATCAGCAAAATACAGTATAGTCTAATTCAAATACACACACTCTAGACTAACCTATAGTTGCAACATATAATGAAAAACAATGAGGAAGCACATATTCATGAAAACAAGTTGATTAAAAACCCAACTATATTTTAACTCCAAATATATAATATGGATAAAATGTATAATCTCACTTCCAACAGACGTTTAAATTTTGTCACACAGAAACATTTGGTAAGAGAGTGGAGGGCGTGATTTCCCCGGGGCAATGCGAATGGGCAGGATGTGGCCGTGAAAAGAAGCAATGTCTCACGACAACTAGTGGGTCGTTCATTACCGCGTTCTGCCCCAAGGATGGATACTTTAAGATGGCATCCAAAACTTGAGGGATCCCAAGTGACTTTTTACCTCCTTTCGGCCTAAGGATAGCTGAAAGAAGTTTTTGTCCAGTCGGGGGTAATACAGGGGTGAGTCCTAAGCATCTGACCCCCGGTGGTCTCGTGGGTCCATTCATTGATAATACTGGTTCAAGGGAAGTCCAAAGAGGCTGTTCCTCTACAATTATTATTTTGACGTTGGGACTGTATAACGCTCTGCACACGCTCTGCCTGCCGCACGCAGCACAGCTTCACCTCATTGATCTGTTGC